CCTCCCTCCTCCCTCCTCCCTCCTCCCTCCTCCCTCCTCCCTCCTCCCTCCTCCCTCCTCCCTCCTCCCTCCTTCCTTCGCCCTCCTTCCTCCATCCACATTATTTTCTCTATTCCCTTTCCTCCACCCTCTTCCCCCCTTCCTGCCTTTTCATCCATAATCGTCATCCCTTCTCCACCTAAACTTCTTCCTTCACATCTTACGCCTCTCACGTTTACTTTCAGCTCTTCTCCCAGCTTCCTTTCCACGAGATTCTCATCTGCGACAATCTCCTCTACTGCATCTGCCTCCTCATGGAGCTGGCAGGTATGCCTGTTGCTCTCTTCCCTCCACCTCCTCCCTGTCACACGCCACACTCCTTCATCCCTGAGCCACCTCCCTTCCCCAGACTCCCTCTCCTCCTTCCTCCCCTTTCCTTTTCGTCGTCGTCGTCGTCGTCCTCCTCCTCCTCCTCCTCCTCCTCCTCCTCCTCCTCCAATATTCAGCTCTTCATCTTCCCTTTCCCTCCCTCCCTCCCTCCCACCCACCTGACGACCATGGTAGCTTTGGTGCAGCTGCGGGTGACTCACCCTGAGCTGCCTCGGCCTTTCAAGATTCCCTTGAAGATCGTCCCCCTCGCCATCATGTGCATCCTCCCTGCCTCCTTCTGCTGCTTCGTCCTCTTCACCAGGTGACCTCTGCCTCCTAGCTCGGTGGAGGAGCTGCCAGGCTGTGCTGACAGTTGCCCGACAGCTCCGTCAAGATCATACTCGCCGCCCTCCTTCTCGTCGGAGTTGGGGTGATTCTGTACGGGGTCAGAACCTTCGTCCTGGTCGAGGTGGATCGAGGAGGGAAGGAGGGGCGGGAGCAGATGATGGGGCGTATCAAAGTCTCCCCTGAAGGGAAGAACTGCCAGCTGCTGCTTTCCTATGCCGCTGCCTCCTCTATCCTCTCGCCTCTCTCGGCTGCCTTCTCCTTCACTCGGGGTTCAGTTCATTTCCTCCCGGGCCCTCCTCTCTGGGCCTCCTCCCCTCCCTCCCTCCCCTCCCCTCCCTCCCTCCCTCCCTCCTCCCTCCTCCCTCCCTCGCCTTCCTTCCTCGCCTTCCTTGTTCTTGCAATTTGCTCAGCTGTCACTGTGTCGGAGTCACGCGAGTAACGAAACCGTCATCATGGCATTGAAGTCTCAGGCTTATTACTGCAATGTCATCTATTACTAATGAGCTCCCTGGGTTGTCATTAAAGCCTCACACAAGATAACTTGAGTCACGACACGAGCCGCTCAGCGGCGGGCCGACCGTCTCAGTTGCCCAGTGCCCGCGGCTCGGGTCACGGTAACACTGCCGCGGGGGTGGCGGCCGCTGATGGAGCGCACTGCGGTATGCCAGCCGTGCCAGTCAGATAGCGCCGAGTTAACAAAAACTCTCCTGTAAACCAAGACGACTTACGTGGCAGGGCGGCCATGTAGTACGTGTGATGCTAAGGTCCCCTCATGTCTGGATGCTTGGGTTTCACATCCTAGCATACAGTCTATCTCTCATGTGCTCCTCAATTCTGGTTTCGTGTGCGGAACTTGGAAAACTGGAAACTTGTGCTCCGTCAGCCGCGCCCGGCAGCCTGGCGGCCCGGTACGCGGGCCGGGTCCGCGCGACGCAGTGACTGCCAGTGCCCAGTGACTCCTGACTAGCAAGGTACCGACAGCGAGTCTCTCAGGGACGTCACTGACCGATCCGATCGCCGGACTCAGTCCCGGATGATTTCGGAGTTCAATCCGGCGAAACCGAGTTGACCAACCTCATCCGCCTCAGGCATTTTCGGAGTATATTTTCTTGACTGCACAGCTAATTTGAAATTTGAAGGAAATAATGAAATTCTTATATGTACTTTCACCCTGACATTTCATCCATACGACAACGCCTCCTCCAATTCCACCCACCCCACCCCACTTTAACAAAGATAAAGCGGCCGTACTACCCCCTCAGAGCATCCACCCCACCCCACATGAGGTCTGTAAAATGCTCGTATCACCCCCACCCCCAAGTACCCCATGTCCCTCCACAATCCCACAGGGTCTTATTTCCGGGGGCCATTCTAAAATGTTTTAAAAATCGACATTGGTTTTAAAGTGTGTACAAGTAAAAAATATCTTCGCAGAATGTAGGTACATAGCCCAATGATAAGTAAAACAACAGTACATAATTATGGGTAGATATTTGAATACCACTTTGGTAGTTCTCCTTTGAGTTATTATTTTTATACAATGAATGTAGCGGCACATGATACTGATACGATACGCAAAATTGTACGAAGTTAGAATAACATTTTGTTGTCAGTAATATCTCCAGGGTCGGATCCCTAAAACAACCAGAATTAAAACTCCAGTATCGAACCAACCTACTACCATCGGCCCCCTTTATAAAACTCAACCGGCATTTTAGAACTGTTTTGAGAATACAATAGTTTTTGATTAAATACCACCCCCATATCCCTTCACTGACCTCTACACCCCCTTTCTCCTCCCACCCCAAAGGAGGACTCCACCCTCAATTCTGTATATCTCCACCCCCACCCTTTCCCACGATTTGTCTACCCTACTTTCCCCTGCTTTCAACCCCCTTGCTCCCCAAGAGCCTCCTTTGTACCACCCCTATAGGACGAACCCAACTACATGGTCCAGTGAAGACCACCCATGCTATGACCAGCCCCACCCACATTTGAATCCAACAAGTGTCGACCCACCTCTTATCCCTACGTCTCTCCCTTTATGACCCAGCTATCCTTGTACCCCATGCTGAAACTCTTCAGTACCCACCCCCGGGAGTTCTTTTAAGTACCTACCCTCTAAATGAAAATCGCTACCCCCCATACTCATCGACTTCCGTCGCTCAGCAATGCTGAGCAAGTCAGCATGCAGAGGGGCAGGAAGGAAGTCGGGTTCGTCAACTAGTTTCCTTCGTTTCTCCTCCTCATCCACCGCCTCCTCTTCCTCTTCCCTCTCACGATCTTCTCTATCTGCTCTAGCAAGCTTCTTTATCCCTTCCACCGTGTTTCCTGTTGGAAAACGCTGGAACTTTCCGATGCCAAGTCTTCCTCGACGTAGAAGACTTGCTGGCTACCGTCACAATGCACACTTGGATTTAGCCATGACACTCGTCGTCCTCACCTCCCTGTTATGGTCGGTTGAGGGCTCCGATCCGCATTTTTCCCGCTGCAGATCTCGGCGGCGTCTTCCACCATGCCCACCAGAATCCTGCACCTCAGAGGCGGTGGTGGGGAGAACTGGTATGGGCGGCTGAGAGGAGGGCAAGTAAATCCTGCGACAGCTAGTTTTGTGCGTGAGCACGACCTGAGCACGACGGAGCGTCTTGAAGATGTATACAAGGTAGAGGATATCCTTGGTGAGGGGGGATTCGCAACGGTAAGGTCAGCGAGGCACAAGATCACGGGGAGAAAAGTCGCGGTGAAGACAATCGACCTGTTCAAAATCCAGACGGGGAAGTTGGACATGCTTCGGAATGAGGTCAATGCTCCTGCCATCTACCGCATTGACGCCACCTGACTCGTTGTGTTGATTTGCTGGGATGGTGTTGCAGATTGAAGTCATGAAGATGCTCGATCATCCCAATATCGTTCGGCTGTATGAGACGTACTCGGAGAAGGAGAAGCTGCACCTTGTGATGGAGCATTGCGAAGGCGGCGACCTCTTCGACTTCCTCATGAAGACTGTGTGTAAATCTTCTGTCCCTGGCCAATTTTGAATATATTGTTACAGAGCATTGAAGAAGGCGGATCCAAGACGTGGTCCGATGGTCAAGGAGCAGAGTATCAGCTCACTGAGCGCGGGATCTCAGAACTCGTTGCGAAGATGCTGAGTGCTGTCAATTACCTGCATCAAAGAGGAATCGCGCACAGAGATGTAAACCTCTGTGACCGGCCTTGTTAACCATTGACCTGGCTGCAGATCAAGCCCGAGAACTTTCTCTTGGAGTCGAAAGCATCGCACGAAGGGTTCGGTGAGATCAAGATAATCGACTTCGGATTCAGCAAGGTTTTTCATGGAACCAACGATCTCCATAACATGCTGGGATCGCCTTACTACGTCGCCCCCGAGGTGCTGTCCGCGTCGGACACGAAAGGGTAAACCGAGATTATTTCCGTTCTTTTGGCTGATCTGTTGTCCTGCAGGTATGGACCGCAATGTGACATCTGGTCTCTAGGGGTCGTTATTTACACGATGCTCTGTGGGCAGCCGCCATTCTACGGCGACGACAACAACCAAATCTACAAGGACATTCAGACTGGCGAGTACGAATGGCCAGAGGACATCGTGGTCTCGAAGGAAGCAAAAGATTTCGTCAGTCAGATGCTTGTTCTTGATCCTGAAAAGAGAATCACGGCAGCTGAAGCCCTGCAGCATCCTTGGATCACTTCGGCATCGAAGCTTGAGGTGAATCCTATCACTTCTCGGATGCTTTCCCAGCTCTCCAAGGTCCGTGATATTGGCAAGCTGAAGAAGCAAGCTCTGCTCGCAATCGGATACTCGCTTGACCGCGAATCGATCCGACAAATGCGAGAAACGTTCCGATCTCTAGACAAAGAGGGCAAGGGACTCATCAGCTTCGATGACCTCCACAATGCCATGATTCAGGTACTTGATGGTCCTTTGGGCAAAAGCCGCTTCTTGCAGTTCTAGTAACTCCTAGACAGTTCGGCATGAAACGTGAACAAGTCGAAGAGCTCTTCATGTCGATCTCAGAGGGCAACAGAGATGGAATGATCGAGTACACCACGTTTGTCGCTGCATGTCTGGAGAAGCAGACGTACTTGGACCAGTCACAAGTGTATCACGCATTCCACAAATTCAAGGACAAGAGTGGATCCATCACAGCTGAAAGCTTGCGCGAAATTCTCGGAAGGAGGTTCTCCCTCCAAGAGGTGGAGCAGATGGTGCAGGAAGCTGACCTGACCGGAGATGGGAAAATCTCTTGGGGAGAATTCACGCTGATGATGGGGAACAGACTCCCAGTCTCCAGAGTCGCCTGGAGGGTCCTCCCACTCTTCGAGGGGCTGTCTGCAGACGAGGTACCTCTCGCTCTCTCCCGTGCTCATCACTGAAGCTAGTTTTCCAGGTTAGCAGAATCATGGAAATCAGCACAATCCAGAACTTCAGCCCTGGGGTCGACATCATAGTCGAGGGGACTGAGGCACAGTCTTTTTTTCTGGTGGAGGAGGGCGAGCTGGAGGTCAGCAGGAGACGACACAAAGACATCAGGCAGCCCAAAGCTGGAACTACCTCGCTAGCCAACAGCCCCCCACGGAAGGGATCGCAGCCCGAAATCGCACACCATGCGGATGAGGATGCATCGCAAGTGCAGAAAGATATCATCGTTGTGCTGGAGGCGAAGACGGTAGTTGGAGAGATGGAGCTTGTGAATCCGGACAAGGTCTGATCCCTCTCAAATCCTGTGTTCGTTGTCTGACCTGTCGCGCAACAGACACGGTTTGCAACCGTGACGGCCCTGACACACTTGAAGACGAGGGAGGTCGGTGGCCGCTTGCGACACTCGGGCTCTTGACTCCTTGGTGCAGGTCCCTTATGCCGACTTCAAGTCTCTGATGGAGAGAGACTATGCCCTCGGGTACAAGGTCATGACCAACATCGCGAGAGTTGCTGCCAGATCGGTTTACGAGGTCACCCTAACCCCTCCTTCGGAATCTTCCTTCTCCCTCTCCTGCCCTCCTCGTTCTCCTCTTCCTGTTGTTCTTTCCTCTCTTTCAACTGTAGCAAATCTCTCCCATCGACGCTCGAGGCTTGTGGGGTGACTGCTGCATGCAGATGAACAAGAAGTACTCAGACTGCGGAGCAGCTCTAGACTTGTACGCCAACAGCTTTCAGCGCCGTTGTGACTCCAACCTGGGTCAGAGCATCCCGCGGTGTCAATTACGTAGGGCACCGCAGAGCAAGAAGGTTGAAGACGATGCAAGGACATGAGACATAGATCCAGGAGCAGCGCGGACGGGTATCTCTACAGTGTACATAACTCTTTACTGACAAGCGGAAGACTGCGATGGAATCAAGTCAAACAGGCTAGTTTGCTCTCCTCGTCCTAGCAAATGACGCATGACAAGACGAGGAGACAGACAAGGGGGAGGAGGACGAGGTTGAATCGATAAGGCCAGGAGGAGGAAGGTGGTGAACGGATACATATTAAAATGAGAGTAGGAGTTGTTACAGGCGTGAAGCGAACAACATGGTAAACTTGATTAAACGAGCTAGCAAAATTATTTTGACTCCTTTTTGCACAACACGACTTGTCCCTGCCCCTCCACACTTCCATCTTGTCTCGTTGGCTCTCTCACAATCCCCGCCCATCTCTCCCCTCCTCCCCCCCTTCCCTCCCATCTCTCCCCCCCTCCCCCCCTCCCCCCCTTCCTGATCAACGGATGAACAGGAAAGGACATTTCATGCACATAATATTCTTTGTTCATAAACTTTACTGTATGTAATAAACATTTTCTTGATGAACCATAAATATTTACTGCAGAGCAATAGAAATGGCAGTAAACTCCTCAAAAAGAATTGATTTTTATTGCTTTAAAGCTTTGATGCTAAAATTTTGAATTGATTGAATGGAAAATTACAAGTTTAAATGGACCATTTTAATTTCTTCACCAAAGTTTGAAACAATTCTGAAATCGAGGACAAAGATCCGGCCTATGAAGCGCCGGGAGGGGTCGCGACAAGACAGGGAGGAGGAGGAAGAGGAGGAGGAGGAGGAGGAGGAGGAGACGGGAGGAAGGAAAAGACGATCAAGTGAAGGCGGACAAGGATTCTTGGTTGACGAGATCATAAGGATTTAGCTGAGCTTGAGGAGGAGGGATGAGAACTAGCGCAGGGTGGGTGGGGGTAGGGGGGGCGCAACAGGACCAGGCCGGTGGAACATGCTCGTCAGGAAAGGATGAGGGTGAAATATTGAGATGAAGGACGAGGATCCATGAGAAATGAGATGCGTTGAAGAAGTAAAGGGGATGTGACAAGGAGGAGGAGGAGAAAAAGGATGAAGAGCGTGGTGGCCAGGGCAGTTACAGGTTGTACTTCTGCCTGGTGAGGAGTAAGATTCATTAGGAACGATTGATGGATGCCACATCTGTTGTTTGTTTGAGGAAAATGATGGAACAAGACGAAGAGGGATCTCTTGTGATGCTCTCCTCGATCATTGCTCCTGTTTTCACTTTCAGTTGTTTAATGTTGATAGTGGATGCTGAAGTCGCTTGCTCCATGTATCTTCCATTGCACATTTCTTGTTGGTGATCGAGGACGAGCTCAGGATTATCTTGTCTCTCACACGTGTTGATCCTTGTTGACATGTTCTTCTCAGAAATCTTCTATTTCATTCTCTCTGATCAACATGGCAACAAAGACTGCGTTCGATGACCTCGGACCAGAAGCAAACAAGGTCATGCCCTCTCCCCCTCCCCCTCCCCTTCCTCCTCCCCCTCCCCCTCCCCTTCCTCTCCCCCTCCCCTCCCCTTCTCTCCCCCTTCCCTTCCCTTCCCTTCCCTTCCCTTCCCTTCCTTTCTTTCTGTTCCTTTCCCTTGACACACTTCTCCCGTCTCCTCTCCTCTCTCTGACTACTCTGTTTTAGACTGTCGATGAATTCATGGAAAGTGCCGCACACAACTTCAACCTGAGCCCTAGCGCCACACCTCCAAAGGTGACGATTGGATGTCCCTGTCTTGGCTTGGCTTGTCCGCTTGCGTTGTGTTGTGTTGTGTTGCCATCTCTTAAAAAGAATCGAATGTTTATCTTTCTTTCCCTTTCATCTTCGATTCGTTGACACCTTGTGTGAAGGCTCCTGCGGATATGGGACCTCCAAGTCAGATACTCTTCTACCTCCTCTCTGACTCCTCTACCCTCTCCTCCCTCTCCTTCGCCCTCCGATACACTTTTTGTCCTCCTTCCACTCTTGTTTCTTCTCGACCCTTCCCGTATCCCTTCAACCGCTCCTTTCACTGTCCTCTCGTCCCTTCAGATTTCTTCTCCGCTCTTTACTCACCTCACACTCCCAGAGGATGCTCACGAAGCGAAGGAGAGGGGCAACGCGTGCTACAAGGCTCGTCAGTATGCTGAAGCTGTCGGCTACTACGAGCAAGCCATCAAGATGTGAGGATCGGCTGCGAGGCCCAGAGCTCACGTTGGATGTCAGGTGCGACGACACGGAGCAGCTCAAGATCTACTATAGCAACAGGTGAGAAACAGATAGCCAAGCTCTCCCTCCCTCCTCCACGTCATCCTCCGCTCCCTCCCGTCTACCAATGATCATGCTTGAATCACATGCTTGTGCTGTCTCTGCCTCTTGCCACCTCCCTCACTCCCTCCTCGCAGGAGCGCAGCCTACTTTGGCCTCAAGATGTTCATCGAGTCTCGCTCGTGATCCTTCGCCTCCTCGGACTCCCCTTCATCCTCACTTCCTCGCAGAGACGCGATCAAGTGCACTGAGCTCGACTCCATGTGGGCCAAGGGATGGTACCGCAAGGGCCTGGCGGAGGAGGTGAGGGAAAGACCCAGGGAGAGGAAGCAGGGGCATGAACAAGGCGGAAAGGAGGGAGGAGGAGGAGAGGAAACAGGGGGATGGAGGAGAGAGGAGGGGGGGCGTTTTGATCAACTTCACAGGGCCTCGAAAAGTATCACGATGCCGAAGAATCCTTCCGAATGTTCGCATCTCCTCTGTCTCTTACCAACTATGATCTCCTCTACTTCACCTCCCACTCCCTCGTCTCTCTCCTCCTGTCTGTGCTTCCCCCCCCGCCCCCGCCCCCCGCCTCCCTCTCTCCTCCTCCTCTCCTCCTCCTTTCCTTCCTTTTGCTTCCCTCCTCTCCCAGTCTCATTCCCGACTCTCCTTGTCTCCCTTGTTCCTCCCTCTCACTAGCCTCTCTCAGGGGTGTCGACTGCGCCCCGCGCGACGAGGCGCTTCAGCGGGCCTTGCAGGAGGTCAAGATGATGCTGTGAATGCTTCAGCTGGGGTGGACGGCCCAGCTGAACTCGAGCTGGTACGAGTTGTCGATTGCTAACAGCAGCTAACAGACAAGAGCAAGTAGTTTGCGCGTCTCTTGCTGACGTCACACAGCCTTAAGTGTATAAAGTTGAATAGCAGACTTCTACCCAGCTGCCCTCCAGCAGCCTTCTTTGCTGGCTGACCCTCCTCCTACTACTACTTGTTGCGTCCTGCTCGCCTGCTAAGCCGAAGAGGAGGAGGGAGAGCAGAAGCTCGGTCTCTGGGCGTTGAAAAAGATTCGCGAGGTCGTTACGACACGCTTCCTCGCGTTAACTGGACCTGTGGCAACGATTGAATCACCTCCTCCTCTGATCCCCTCCCTTCCCTTCCTCCTCCACCTTCTCCCTCCGCTCAGGTCTTGCTGCCTGACAGTCTCCTCCTGCTCTCCCTCACTTACATCGATCATATCGTAGCGGATGTTCCCTGTTTCCAATACACTGATAATGCTTCAGACTCCTCGCCCTCCCCTTCTCCCTCGCCCTCCTCTCCTCCTCTACCTGTCCGTGCTGGCATGCTCGTTCCTCGGAGTCCCTCCCTTCTGCCACAGCTTAGGAATCTGCAAAGAACTTCTCAGATAACGAGGAAGAGGAGGAGGAGGAGGAGGAGGAAGGGAGAGGGGTAAGGACCTTCGGTCTACTGTCCTCCTCCTCAGCTCGAGGATTTCGTTTCGTATCCTGCCGTGAGGAGCTGTCTTCATCCTTCCCCTCGTCTTCCCGCACAACCACCTTGAAGAATAGCGTGACATCTCTTCCTCTCTGCTCTGCTCTGCTCTGCTCTGCTCTGCTCTGCTCTGCTCTGCTCTGCTCTGCTCTGCTCTGCTCTCTCCTCGCCTCGTCTCGCCTCCCCCCGTGGTCTTCACCTTCCTCGCAAATCGCAGGTGTATGGAAGTCCCTGGCGTGCCGAGCATGAGGGGTGCGATCTCTATGATCTGAACGAGACGATGAGTGAAGTACGGGGGAGGAGAGAAGCAAGAGAAATAAAAGATGCTGTAAAATGGGCGGGGCAGGGGCAGGGCAGGGAGATGGACGGGAGGGGAGGGGAGGGGAGGGGAGGGTTCTTGTTCTCACCGGCCATCTATGGACGTCCACATGGTTGACTTGCATGAGAACATCGCCCTCCTTGAGCTGTCGCTCCAACATCAGTGAAGAGGCTGGAAGGGCGAGAGGAGGGATGGACAGGGGAGGAGAGGAGCGAGGAGAGAGGAGAGGAGAGGAGAGGAGAGGAGAGGAGAGGAGAGGAGAGGAGAGGAGAGGAGAGGAGAGGAGAGGAGAGGAGAGGAGAGGAGAGGAGAGGAGGAGAGAAGAGGGAGCATCTTAGAGGAGAATAATCGTAAAGTTACCATGTTGCTCTTCTCTGCAGAGCTGCGAGGCACGAGACCCTTTACCTGTTCTGACATGAGAAGGGCGAGCAAGAGTGGGAGTGTGGGGAGGAGGAGCAGGAAAACGAGCATGACAACGAGGATCAGAAGGAGGGGAACGAGAACCGGGAAGTGGAGGTGGACAAGGACGAAACGAGAAAGAATTTTCCATACCACGAGTCCTCCTGTTCCGTCGGACGCGAAAACAATGCCCACTCCAACCTGACGGGAAGAAAAGATTCATTCGCCATGGCATCGAGACGCAAGGAGCAGGCGCGCGTGTTAGCTTCTCTGCTGCATGTTCCCACCTTGGCTGAAGGCATCGGTCCCGAAGGACGAGAGGACAAGGTCGACTGCCTCTGAAACTCTTCCTTCTCTAACCTCTGGCTGCAGCAGTCGAAGACGGCGAAGAGCGACATCTCGAGGAAGAGGAGAACGAGAAGCGAAGAGAAGACGAAGATCAAGGAGTGCTCCGATAAGGGACAGGCGACAGCAAAGAGATGGAAGGGAGGAGAAATCGGGATCAGGCACAGTGAAGCAAAACCGAAGGGACCGGAAGAAGTGAAGCAAAAGGAGAAGGAGGAGGAGGAGGAGGAGAAAGGACGGAGGATGCAAGGGGGTCCAGGAAGGAAAGATGAGAAGTAAGGGAGGGAGGAGGGAGGAGGGAGGAGGACGAGGGTCTACGGTGCAGGATGCTGGAAACTGTGCATGGTGAGTTCTACCGGGCGGACATGGTGGGGAGTCAAAACGATTTACAACCTTAGGGGTGGGGTAGTCTGAAAATTGAATTCCCAGAGGGGTGTGGGGCCAGCGGAACCGAATAGGGGTGGTAATTTCATAATAAACAGATCCATTATGGGTGGGTACTGGTCACAGGACTCCGGAGCCGTAACGCTTCCTAGGGGGGTAGGGGTACGGATGATATAGCGGGATCAGGACACCAGGGGTGGGTAGTACAGATTTGGATATGGCGGGGTAGGGTAACCAGACCATTCAAAATGTCGGGGAAGGCAGGAAGGTAGGCAGGCAGGCAGGCAGGCAGGCAGGCAGGCAGGCAGGCAGGCAGGCAGGCAGGCAGGCAGGCAGGCAGGCAGGCAGGCAGGCAGGCAGGCAGGCAGGCAGGCAGGCAGGCAGGCAGGCAGGCAGGCAGGCAGACTCGCTGACCATCAGGCAGGAAGACGATTTGAGGAGAGGAAGTGAGAAACAAGAAGGAAGCAAGGGCACTAGGGGTAACGAAGGAACTGGCAGTAAGACAAAGAAGAAAGGAGGGGGGAGGAGCAAGGTACCATACGAAGGAGGGAAGGGAACAACTGGGCAAGGAGTGGAAGGACAACGGAATGGGGAGCATATCATAATAGGATTGAAGGGAAAGTGAGGTTGCAGAAAAAGGAAAGCAAGACGAGTAGTCAGTAGGAGAGGAGGAATACATACACCTGCCATCCCAGAGTATTACCTACAGGTATCCCATGCACGATTCCTGCATAGCAGCAGATGCAGAGGCGGTGACAGACATGAGTTGTAAGAGAGTTGCGGATTTGTGGTTCAATGCAGTCAAGGGGGAAAAAAACGAAGCAGAGCAAAACAATGAGGACATGAAGAGGATGGCATATCAACAAGTGCGAGTGCAGTGAAGCTTCACAAGGATGAAGGTAAAAATGAGGTGAAGCGTGAGAGATAAAGATGGATCTGCAGAGACAACATTTGAACATATGAAAGTAAATTAGCTGCTGCTGATAACAATGATGATGTGGTTGTTGTTATGGAACAAGCCGGGTCGATGCATGGTAAACAAACTTTGTTCAGATGTCGCATATCAAAGAGTGATGTAGAGAAACTTGAGCAAGGAGAGCAAAAAAAACGACAACAAAGAGCTTACAGGTTTAATTGATATGAAAAGCTGTGAGAGAAGGAAGAAAAGACGTAAGTTGCATTCCAAACGTCCAAGATGGGAATACGGTATTGACATGCAGCAAACTTGTTGCTAGTGGCATAATCATGATGTAAGTGAAACAAGTGAGAAATCGGAACTAAACAGACTCTCATCAAGATATGTTTGATTTCAAGAGATCTTGTAGTCAAGCAGAACAAAGGGCATGAAATCACCAATATCCGCACATCGATTGTGATAAGCTGCATCGCATTAATCTTTCAAACAACAGCTTCCTTGTTGGCAATGAAATGAATCTATTCGTCCTTCTTTGCCGTCTCGAATTTCTTCTCTTCATTCCCTCCACACCATCCTCTCGTTCCCAGTTTGTTCTTCTTTCTTATTATCTCCCTCCTCTCGTTCCGTCTCCTGGTCTCTTCTACCTCCTATCTCTCTCCTTTCTTTCCTCCCCTTCTTTCCCTCTCGTCCATGATCTTTCTTCTTTCTCCTACCTGATCCTCAAGTTTCTCTCCTACCTGATCCCCATACTTCGACCCCCTCACATTCCGTCCCCACTTATCTACCCCCCTTGAAGCTTCTCCCCCTGGATCCCCACCTCCCCCCCCAAATTTCAGGCTCCTGCCCCCCTCCGCTCTCCCTCCCCTCCCGCGCTCGTTTCCTGCTCCCTCCCTTTCCCCTTCCAGTCCTGGGCCGATTGCGCCCTCCGACCCAGCCTCCTACCCGTCGCTTGCGCCCCCTCCTCCCCTACCCGCTGGATGGCCTCGGGGCACAGGAGCGTTACTATCAGTGGCAGCGAGAGGGAGGAGGGAGGGAAGGGGAGGACGAGGATGTGGATGGGGAGGCGAGGAGAGTCGCAATCGTTCCCCGTGTTCGAGGAATGGCTGACTGGAGGGCGCAAAGATGCAGTCGGAGGCAGCAGGACTGGGAGGGAGAGCAAGACATCGAGGCTGAGGAGGCAGGTGAGGAGCTCGAGCAGCCTGGAGCACCGGGAGGAGGAGGGAGGAGGAGAGACGGGACAGGTGCTTCCGATCCTGGCAGACATCGAGACGAGGATACAGGAGAGGATACAGGAGAATGCTCAGCGAGGGTCGTACCTGGGAGTGGAGAGCCTGCTCAAGGAGCTGCAGCTGTACGACCATCTCTTCCAGGACCTGGTGGACAAGACTGATGCTGTCTTCCCCATCGCCTCCCACCTCCTCCGATCCCTGTGGGAGAGCTTTGTGAGCATGATCAAGCAGAGCTTCATGGTCTACCTCCAACGCTCCTCCGACCTCAACGACCGCAACGTCCTCCTCGACCGCGAGGTCAAGCACAGCTCCAACACCGCGCACGAGCTGCATGCTCGCGTTGTGACGCTCGAGGGAGCCTTGTCAAAGATGCGCGAGGAGCTGGTGACATGCAGGAAGCAGCTGAGCCAGGCGCAGCAGAAGATGCAGCTCAAGGACAGCTGGATCCGAGCTCGAGGGCGAGAGAAAGACTCGAGAGAGTTCCCGCTCAAGTCCACCATGAAGGTGCTGGAGGAGGTGGAGGGGGAGCAAGACGCGAGTCTGAGCGTGCTGGAGGAGATAGAGGATCTGTTCGAGATGCGGGTGGAGGAGGAGTCCAGGTCCTCCTCGGCTCGCAGAGAGCACTCGCACAAGATGCTGTCCAAGTGGAAGGAGGAGATGCTCTCCCTCCGCCAGCAGAACAAGACGCTACGAGCTGGCCTCCAGCATGCAGAGGAGGAGACGAGGAGGCTGTCGGACCAGGCAGCCAAGTATCTGAACCTGCTCGAGAGCTTGAGGGACAGCAATCAGACGCCGCGACCTCACTGGGACGACTTGTTTGAGCGCGTCTGTCCCCAGCTCTCGCACATGACCATCGTCAACTTGACTTCCAGCACGGAGCTGCGTCAGGCCTCCTACAAGGGCGCCACCGCTGACCGCGTCCTCTTCATGGCCGAGCTGCTCGCCCGCCTGCTGCCGTCCGAGCATCAAGCTGAGCCGCAAGTTACTAAGAGCAAGTTCTTCGAGGCCCGGGGGACAGGCAGGAGCGTTCCTCTCTACCTTCGAAGCAAGAACCCGGTCAGGAACCGCTCCATGGGCAAGCAGGAGACTCTGCTGCTCGTGCATGGCATCGTCAACTCGCGGTACAAGCGGCGAGGGGCAGCCAAGGCGGCGTCGCTACAAGAGGACATCTTCGACTACCTCAAGTCCCGATGTCAGTTCGACTTCGGAGCTGCGGTCGAGCTGGGGTACAACCTGGTGGAGGGGTGTAACAAGTACGTGGAGGAGCCGTTCATCCAGCTGTTCAGGGGCGTCATGGAGGGCACGTTGCCCGAGGCCCTGCTGCTGGATTCTGTGGCTCTCGTCGAGGAGCTGGCAATGAAGCTGAGAGAAGCAGGAGAGGAGAGGCAGAGCGAGGGGAGGATGGAGGTGAAGACAGTGGAGGAGCTTGTTAGAAGTTACTTCCCCTACAAGGACCGGCGCAAGATCACAGGTGAGCTCCTGTCTTGCAGCCTCCCTCGCTCATGCTCCTCCTCCTCCAGAGCTCCTGCAAGCCTTCGACCTGCCTCATCCTACAGGAAGGAAGGACGAGACACGCGTCCCTCGCAGTGATGACGTACAAGCCCCTCCCTCCCTCCTCGTGTGATGATAGCGCAGATTGTAGAGTATGAGCTGCTCTTTCTCGAGGACGAGGCTCGCGTCGAGGTATCATATCGCTCTCATGTCAAGAGCTACATGTACTACCAGCTCATCTCACTGCACTACATGTACTACCAGCTCATCTCACTGCACTACATGTACTACCAGCTGATCTCACTGCACTACATGTACTACCAGCTCATCTCACTGCACTACATGTACTACCAGCTGATCTCACTGCACTACATGTACTACCAGCTCATCTCACTGCACTACATGTACTACCAGCTCATCTCACTGCACTACATGTACTACCAGCTGATCTCACTGAGCTAACTTTTCATACCTTTACTGCCTCAGGGTCCTTTCGCGCAGCTGGTCAAAGAGCAGGCGCTGATGGAGAGAAAGGAGATCATGATTGAGGTATTACTTTGAAAGCAACCTGTTGCTGCTTCTTTCAACCTACCCCTCTCTTCTCTCATTCTCCTTCTTTTCTTTCTTTTCGTTCTTCTCCTTCAGCTCGAGCGTCAACTCCGTAACTTCCAGAGGCCTGGAAGGCAAGCTGTCATGCCGCATCAGGTGGGCAGAGTGGGGAAAGGGGGAATGAGGAGCAGGAGCAGGAGCAGGAGCAGGAGCAGGAGGGGGAGAGGCGGGGGGAGGGGGAGGAGATGGAGAGCGGAAGGGAGTCGGTAGTAGTTGATTACCTTCTAGCTCAAGCAAGCAATAGCGTCGACGGATGAAGGATTTCCTCCAGAAGAGGTGCTCCACCACCAACACCACCACCACCACCTCCTCCTCCTCCTCCTCCTTCCCTCCCTCTCCTCTTCCCCCTCCCCCTTCTCCCCGACCTCCTTCTCCTCCTCCCTTCCTGTCTTGCTGTTTCGCCTCAACCTGCCACAGGTCGAGCGGCTCTTTCAGATCGCGATGGAAGCAGCGGCGAACCCGCAAGAGGAAGACGAGCAAGTCAAAGTCAAAGACATCCTCCAAGCACTGCGATGGTGAGCAGCAAGTGTGTTGTCAGTCATCGTCCCCTGCACTGTTTGCTTTCTTTTCTCCTCTCCCTCCTCTCCCTCATCTTTTACTCCTTCCCATTCTAACCTCTCCATCCCCTTCCTCCTTCCTCTTCTAACCTCTCCATCCCCTTCCTCACCTCTCTCCGCCGCAACATGGCGGGTATGAATGAACTCAGCCTCCTTGAAGTCTCCTCGTCTTCTCAGCTCATGAGGTGGCAGGGCCCCGGGGCTTCGCAGGTTCTCCTCCTACGGGGTTCGCGTCAACGATGTCAAGCTCCTCTTCTCGTCTCCTTGAGCCTCCCGCCCGCCATGTATCGCCCAACTTATCCCTTGTCAGTAGACGCCACCTACTATGATCCGAGGCTCACTGTCACTATGGTACGCTCGGACTCGGTCACTGGTTCTTTATCCGGCGGCGACTCTTCAATCCGATCACTGTCTGCTACTAACCAAAGGCTAACCCGGCGTGGCATATTAGGGGGGGGGGGCAGTCACAGTGGGCGCCTCGGTAATCGGGCCCTGGCGGCGGGTGCCGCCGGCATTCCCGCCCCGGGTAGTGAGCCGGCGGACTCGGGACTCAGGCTCGGACCCGGCGACAGTCACTGCGCGGCGGTCGGCGCCCGGTCACAACCGCCGGCTACGTGACCGGGCCGTGCCAGGACTACATGCCGTTCACTTTTAGCCCTTTCGTTAATTTCCGTACGGGCCGGCGTCACGGTAGGCCCGGCTTCAACCCGGAGGCTTCCGTAAGTTCCCGGACTACCGTAGCCTGTACTGTAGTACCAAATTGGCACGTATCAGTATTCCCGGAGTCACTGCCCCGTCCCACTGCGGATCGGACCGGCGTACAGGGCCGCGGCAGGGCGGCCGCCACGCCCCGGGCCCGCGGGTGGGGGCGGCGGCGGTCGGCGGCCCGGCCCGGACTCCCCGGAATCCGGTGATCGGAATTCAACCCGGAGGCTGGCAGGCCCGGGGGCCGGCCCGGGCCGGCGGGGCCTTAGAGCCGCTTCGACACTGAGCCTCACCGGGCCTCATCACTAGGCTCGCCTCAGTTTTTTTGATATTTCAATAGTACCCGTGGGTGGTGTGTTGACCCCTTTAATTCCGCGCAACCACAGAGAAAAGCACCAGAGAGTTGACCCGCTTGAGAACATGGGGGGTATGGGGGGACTGGGGGTAGTGAGCCTAACGAAGAGCCGCGATGGAGAGACGTGCGGTGTTGATGGCAGGGATGGCCGCCATGGCCGCTGTCCTCTTAGCGATAACAGCCATGGTTGCTACTGCTCAGAACAGATCTTCCCTCCTCCAGGTCGTTGTTCGCCGCCCAGCTCTTATGCGAATCCCAAGAGGATCGAAGCTGTATGATGCCGCGCTTGAGCCCCTCTACACGGAGGGAGACAACGTCATCAGCGCCTACAGCTGGCAGGACCAGCATGGCAGTGAGTACGATCCTGAGGCACAGAATGTCTATGCCGATCTCCCCATGGAGAGAGACAGCATCTTTGATCCGGATGATGAGTTCAGAGGCCTTGCACCCAAGGACATGTCAAAGAGCTGCGACAAGTTTGGCTCGTGCGAGGAGCCAGTGAATGCATGGGCTGACCTGCCAGACACTGAGGCCAGATCGATGAGCTTCAGATCTCCTTATGTTGCGCCTCTCAACGCCTGGGAAGACATGACCCTCGATTATTAACTGTTCGTTGACCACTGCGGTTGGGCAAGTACTTTGTTCTTGCATTTTGTTTCATACGCCTAATACAACTGAACCGAAGCTTGATCTTGTTCACTTGTCTGCATGTACTGACCAGTTTCAGGTTGCATCAGATCTGTCGCTCTGCTGGCGTGAAGGTACACAGTCGGCATTGACATAATGATGGAGCGTGGTGCTCTTGTTGTGTTCCTCGTTCATTTGGTCGGTTCATTCAATCGATGGCAAGCTCGCTCAGTAGGTGAAGGAAACGTTCGCTCTCTCTTCCCTGTCAGATGGAAGAAGCTGGGTGAAAAAGCCATCTAACCAGGTCGAAAGAGTCAGGCTGTACTGAACGTTTGCTTCGACATCGATGGACACATCCTTGGGATGATCGTCCTATTCATTCTTGAGCTTTGCAAACCTGTAACTTTGTGCTCCTCTACTGAAGCGATCATGACCTCTCATGGTGGAATCGATGAACCTTCATCTAACTGGTTCCCTCAAACTAACTTCATCTCCCTTGAGAGTCCGGTGATTCAATTTCCTGCAGAGCCGATGTACATACCTTTCACTGTTAACCCCGTCGTATCTCTAGATCGCTGCTTTCTTCGTCGCGTTCGACATCGTCTAATCTCATCGTTCTATCGATATCATGTGATGATCATTGTCAAGATCAAATCATGATCATTGTCAAGACGACATCATGATCATCGTAAGTCATCATCGCTATCGCAGTATGTTACAGTCATTGTGCTATCACCATCATCGTCTCCATCACCATCATCGTCTCCATCACCATCATCGTCTCCATCACCATCATCGTCTCCATCACCATCATCGTCTGGTTCGGTCTTCAGGCTGCTGTACACCATGGTTGAGGCGGACCTGAACACACAACAGGGGGTAGGGTATGTGAGAATCTGGGGATTATTTGCCAAGGGGGTAGCAAACATGGAAATGGTGGGGTACTTGGATGGTAGAAAAGTGGGGTAGAGGAAACGTATGGGGTGTGATACCAGGGTAGGGTTAATGTGTCCCCTCATGGGGTAGGGAGCCAGGGTTCCTTGTCACCATGACGAAATGGCAATAAGAAGGAAAATGACGACGGAGATGAGAATGAGCAGAGGAGTAGAAGGAGAAGGAGGAGGAGAAGAAGAAGAAGAAGGAGAAGAGGAAGAAGAGGAAGAAGAAAAATAAGTGGGGAAGGAGACGATGAGACGAAGCAGACTGTGAAGAGTATGAGGAGAGGTTGTGCGGAAGTGTAGGCATGGACGATCAATAAGAATGTGGGCCCGGTAGGAGATGAAAATTTGAGACGGGCATGAAAGAAACAGAAAGGCGTTGCTGATGACATAAAGTCCTGAAGAAGTTTTTTCACTCCAAATGTTTTTCGTCAAAGATAGGATAGATGATGAAAATGGGAAGTATAACTGGATAGTTCGTTTGTGCGGCGGATTTCTGCCCCATGAAGTTGATCGGTAAGCGCTGAGGAAGAGAGCAATGTTCAGGATCAGGGAAGTATGCATACCATTACCTGCTGCTTGCTCACACATGATGGAAACATGCGGCATGATGGGGAGAGGACTTCGATCTCTGACAGTCGTCACTTGGACAACAGGCGCGAAGTGGCAGAGTCATCCGACTTCGGAGGGGTTGCAGCATGCAGGTGTGGAGATGCCAGCGAGACTCATCTTTGACCTCACTCCTTCTCTTCAGAGCATGCAGACGAAGCTGCTCTGCAGCGAGAGGGTCCTCCTCGCACTTGTCGCCTCTACAGTGAGTTTGCTTTGGAGGGGAACGAGTTAACGTCCAGTGCGACTTACACCTGTTGCTCCGTCAGGTTGCGTTTGTCGTCCTATCAGCCACCATCGACTTCTCCCATCCTCGTCCTGCTGCTCTCCGAGACTCCATGTCCACCCTGCCGCAGTTCACGCAGGAGGAGGGGGAGATGAAGGTAAGAGAGGTCCGTGCCGTGACCTGCCTTGAATGCCATGCAGGCTCATGAGAATTTCTACGAGTCGGAAGGAAGCTCTCCTTCTCGCCAATCCTCATGGACGGGCAATGGTCAGTGTCGCTCGCTCCGTCCTCCTTCCCCTCCTCGTCCCTCTCCCCCTCCCCTCCTCCCTCCCCCATCTTCTCCTCCGTCTCCTCGTCTTCCTCCTCACCTTTCTCCCACCCCAGCCTCTCACTCTTTTCCCTCTCCCGTCCTCCTTCCACGTTCTTGCTCCTTCTCGTATGCCTCCTCCTTGCTCTTAACATTGATCCTTGGAGTGCAGGAGGGGCAGCGTTCAAGTACCTCCAGCATGAAGCATCGAACCCTGTAACAGCGAGCAAGAGCATCGCGAGGCGAAGGGACTGATGGAGGGGATGGCTCAGGTCACGGAGGCGGAGGAAGGGTTGAGGAGGAGCCTTCGAGGACGATCTTCCAGCTCAGATCGGTGAGGGAGAGGGGAAGGGAGAGGAAGGAGGAGGGAAGGGGAGTGGGGGAGGGGGAGGGGAGGGGAAGAAGGATGAGGAGCTGTGTTGTGTTTGATGCTGATGTATGCGTCAAGGGTGGACTTGTACGGAGCATGGGGATCGAGCAGGAGGAGGCATCGAGATGATTACGTGGAGGTCAGAGAGGACGGGGAGGAGGAGGCGTGACGGTATTGGCGGCAGAGGTTGCGGAAACTTGAGCAGAAGAAGCGGGAGAGGAGGGACAGCGACTTTTTCGCAGGTGAAGAAGCTTCAGCCAGTGGAACTGAGCGGGAGGGAGGGAGGGAGGGAGGGAGGGAGGGAGGGAGGGAGGGAGGTGAGGTGAGGTGAGGGAGGAAGGAGGGAGAGACGGAAGGGAGAGAGGGAGGGAGGGAGGGATTGAGAAATCAACAGGTGTTACGAAGGCCTTCGGGAAGAAGGAAGGGAATTTGCTGATGAACAAGTTTGACCCTCAGAGGTAGGGGGATGAGCGAGACACTGAGAAAGAGGGAGAGACAGAGGAGATGGATGCGTTGATGGAAGTGAGGA